AAAAATTGATTGTGTCATCATTGTCTCCATGGTATTCTTGGTATTCATTGTGTTTGATCACTTACCACGGCGGTATATCATCTCTACCTCACTTGCATTACTTTTCTAGTGTAGCTAAGCTCTTTAGTGTAATTAGTTTTGAGGGCTAGCTTGTGTCTTGTAAGTGGTTAGTGAGGCTCTTTAGTTATTATTTGAGAGCTCACTAACTTAGAGGTAGTGACTTAGCCCTTTGTGTGTAACATAGAGATTATAGCTACTAGAATTGAGGCAGGTGGCTTGCTTTTTTAGTAGGCTAGCGCAAAACTTGCTTCGCCTCATATTTGTCTAACCATTTTGCTTAGTGTTATTGTAGATTTTTAATAGGCTATTCACCCTCCTCTAGCCATTAGGACCTTTCAGCATCGTCGAACTCAACCAGGAGCCACCGTCGGACCTACCGATGCCCTGAGTGCGACTCATGCAAAAACTACATTGAGAGGGTCTAGAGCCGGTTTTTTGGTCGGACCTAGGTGATGATCTGATGCCTCCATGTGTCATGCTCGCGTCAATCTCCTTGTTAGCTAGCCACCGTCGGACCCGAGGAGTAGGGTTCCCGTCGCGTCCGATGCCTTCTCCTTGCGTGGTCCAACGCTGCTGCGCCCGCACCTGAAAGCTAGGGTTGTCCGTCAGACCCAGCCAGGCAGGGCCCGACGCCTTCTGAGCCAGGGTATGATGCCCCTGCTCCTCCTCCTTTTCTTTTTCTATCTCAACGACCACTTCACCCTTGCTTCCAAGATGCTAACCACAATGTGTACAACTCATGTGCTCGTGTGTTAGTATTTTTCAAAGCATTTTACAAGGGTTAATTGTTAGCACACTATGTTCCTAATGCATATGCAAGAATCATGTCACCTAGTGGCACTGGATAACCGCTTAGCCAAAGATTTCCCCTCTTTATAGTACGACTATCGATCATAAACACACTCACACCCTCTATGGTGTCTTGAGTGTCAAAACAAAAATCTATTTGATACCTTTTCCTTGATCTCCTTGGTTTTTATTTTTCTCTTTCTTCTTTTCCATGTTGGAGCTTGATCACCATCATCACATGTCCATCTTCATCTCCATGGATCTCTAACTTGCTCCATCACTTTGTCTGTACCAACCTAGCTCATGATCACACTTGATGACATAGGTTAGTACTTAGGTTTCATTAATTATCCAAAACCAAACTAGGGCTTTCAGCATGTTGGGATACAAAGTGGGTGGATCCTAACCTAGGGCTTCTTGCCTTGCGCTTTGGTCTCCTTCATATTGGCACCGCCGGGCCCTTTCTTTGTCGTGTAGGAGGGGGCCAACAACATCACAACCACTCCCTGACGTCTCTACGTTATAGTCTGGCACTTGACCGTTAGGTGCTGTCTGTTGTGACGCGGCCTTCCCCCGGTCAGCCTTCTCGAGGCTTCCTTGATACGCATGGATCCCCCTTCCCGATGGGGCTGATGAGTGGGCCTAGAGCCATCTACCCTATGGACCTGGGGAGTTCCTTGTCCTGATGTGTCACATCCTGTGCATGGCCTAGCCGAGGAAGTGGACGACAGTCCCCCGCGGCTATGGAACGCGAAGGCAGAGTGTAGTGCTTTTTGCGCCTGCCAGGCTCTAGGCGCCTGTAAGATTTTAGAGCTAGCTTCCGATCTTGGCTCGGGAAGTTTGTTGGTCCCGAGCCAAGGCTAGGATGGTTGCTAGGGCGGAGGCTTAGCCTAGGCTCCCCTTGGCTCGGGAATCCCTATGTTGTGGCAGAGCCCCCGAGCCCCGAGTGATGGTCCCTTCGTCTGCTTGGGCTTGCCCTTCTGACATCGTGGGTCTCCATGGGGGAGGGCCATTTATGGCTTGTCGAGCCATCCATTCTCTACCAGACGGTACCACGAGCGTACCCAATGGGTATAGCTCTCGAGCCCCCGACCGATTCGGAGAGTCAGTCGGGTTCTTACTCGGACTGTCTCGCCCTTCTCGGGGACATGCAGGTTTCACCACAAAGTACCTTACAAATGAGCTAGGATTAGTTTGCCACAAAGTGTATAAATAATGCTATTGCCTCTTGTGATAAGTATTTCATATTTCGATTTCACCCCATCAAAGTTTTTGAAATAATACTATCAACAATAATCTCTAAAACATTTAGCTTGGAAATATTTTAAAAATAAACATGTCCTCATATATCTTGAAAATTACTTTCACATATAGTAATATTAGATTTTATAAATCTATAGTTTATAATAGAAAGTATTGGTCAAAGCTACCATGAAAACCATGAAAAAACATAAAGAAGTTCGAAGAGGTACTTCTTATGGACACGAAAAATAAATCATGTTTATGAGAAACATAAATTACTAGAGAGTTTGGGTTGTCTCTCCTTCCTTCAATAATTAATCTCTCTCTATTTGTGTTTGTGTAAATAGTTTGTTGGCATTATCAAGACTTGGTATTCAAGTTTTGGGTTTGTATTGACCTAACTTTTGAGTGAAAAGATCTTAGTATCTAAATGAGATGAGTATTTTTTCTTTTTTCTTTTTTAAAAAATGTATGACGACTAGTTTGACACATGCTGTAGAAAATTACAACTTCTGGTGCCATTACAAATAAACCAACAACTATTTTTTCATGTCATTAGATAAAACTATGGCTTCCTCACTTAGGTCCTACTTGTTTCATCTTTGTCCTAGCTTCTGTTAGTCAAAAGCCAGAAGCTGAAATAAACAACACAGTTATTGAGCTAGCTTTTGAAAAGCTAGTTTATGAGGAAACGAACTAAAAGCTAGAAAACACATTGAGAGGAGCTTTTATGGTTTTTGATGCGCTAAGCAGCTAAAAAATGTATTACAAAAGTCAGTAGCAAAAAAACTAATAGCTAGAGGCCAAAGGATAGAAAGCCGGCTTTAATTGAGCCAAAAGTCCAAATTATAAAGCTGCAGCTCAAACAAACAGGCCCTTAGGTTGACATCGTGGACCTCCTTGTTTCGTTCCATGTTAAGTTGCCTGACGGATAGGTCCACGGCGAGAAAGTTATAGGTTTATGTTATAATAATATGTCTAGATACTTGTACATTTGTGAATTGATTGTAGTTTTATTGGTTAAGTTTTAGGTTCTCGGCTTAGTATGAGTACTTGTATTTTTCTAGATCTATTTTAGGATTTGACGACACTATTATTTCAATGGTAGACAATGCGCCTGTCAGGCTTCATGCCGTCGACGTGGCACATGCTGGTATTTTTCGTATTTATTTCAGAGTGAAATTCTCAAGCGGTCCGTAAACTTGCATGATGGTGTTATCTGGGTCTCTCAATTTTTTGATATTGTGTCCCTGAACTTTGTGTTGCAGTGTCACTTAGGTTTCCAACTCTCGAATTTTAATACTTAGAATCTTGAACTTCGAGAGTTGGGACCTGAATCGAGAGTTAGGAACCTAGATGACACTAGCGTGCAAAAGCTAGGGGCCGCTAGTGAATTTTACTCTTTCATTTTAGGATCTAAGGACACTATCTTTCAATGGTGGGCGAAATGTTTGTTTACAATGAGTCTGTGACTCGATCTGTCAATCTCGAGATCTAGTGACTTAGTCTTTAGGAAGTGTCTATAGGGATAGAATGTTCGTGTGGGGACTAAAAATTGTAGTTTCTATATGACATATACTAAAAACAAGTATATAATTTTTAGACTTACTCGGAAGAAGACCAGCCAAGCTTCTTCCTATATGTGAATCTAACAAAACTTGGCTACAAGAACCTGCAGCTGCAGGGAACCCTAATGGGAACCAAATCTGATTGAAGCCGCAAAACAAGAAAGACATCCAACGGAATACGGATCGAAGTAGGGAAAACTTCACAGGCATTTTGAAATTGAGCTAGCTACACATGTAACCGTCGAGGCTCCAATTGTTTTCTTAGATAAAAACAAGGAAACACTGTAGCAGAGAGCAGCCAAAAGAAAAACCCTAACAGGAAAGAAAGCCGAAGTCCTACAAGCCCTAGAGCCGAAGTCCTACGCCGTAGCCAGCAGGGCATGGGATCAGTCCTGTCGGTTCCAACTCTCCAGCCGCACGCGCATCGACACGCGTCGCTCACTTTCTGACATGTGCTCTGCTCGCCTAGTGCTCCTGCCCTAGTGCCCTGCCAGAGTCCCCTCTCTCCGACTCACCCGCGTACGGCAACCTTTATTGCGATCGCATGCGGCATGCACTCCTCCACGGACGACGGCTCCTCCGGGCGAGATAATTGCGGTTTGGACGTACGCCAGCGCGAGCGCGCAGAACCGGGCACCGGCACGCAGACGCAGCGAGGCCGAGGGGGCGCGCGCTGGTACGGGCGAGAACTGGCGGCACGGGCCATCACGCGTCGTCGATCAGGGCTCTCTGCCCCGTTCCCTCGCCCTCGCGGGCGGCCCCCACCATGCACCTTACAAAAAGCAACAGCTCCTGGTGGTGCCGTGGTGGGCGAGTGATCGGTCGCTAGCTGATGGATCACGTCGTCACTGCCAAGTAGATAGATCGATAAGAGCAAGTACAATAGCGGGTTGTAAGTCGACTGAATGTGGAGATGGAAGAGAGAGAAGAGAAGCATACTATAAGTTTATGGCCGGCTTAGACACAAAAATAGAAAAACTTCATGAGAGAAATAAGAGAACCATGTATTAACAGTAAAGAGCTAACTATTATATAAGTGGGCTAAGAAAAAACTATAAAGATGAATGTATTATTAGCCTTGCTTTAAGATGATAAATACTAGAGAGAGAGAGAGGGCGATGCAGAAGGTTGAAAAAACTCTCCAAATAAAATCGTTGAGTAAAAACACCTCGCCCGGCCCCAAGGGTATGTACGATCACACAATATAATCTTATATCTCTCTGCTGCGGTGCTGCCTGCTTAAAGCAACCCAGGACTCCCGAAGGAGCTTTAGAGCTAGAGAGGACGGTGTGGTAGAGAGAGAGAGAGAAAAGAGGGACGCAAAACAAGCTAGCTAGGAAGATGGGTCGCGGCAAGGTGGAGCTGAAGCGGATCGAGAACAAGATCAGCCGGCAGGTGACGTTCGCCAAGCGCCGGAACGGGCTGCTCAAGAAGGCGTACGAGCTGTCGCTGCTGTGCGACGCCGAGGTCGCGCTCATCATCTTCTCCGGCCGCGGCAGCCTCTTCGAGTTCTCCAGCTCGTCATGGTACGACGCCCACGCATGCCGCCTGCCCTGCATGCATCTGATCTATGTATATTCCGCAACGCATCATGCATCCCCAAAATGAACAAAATTAATTTAATATACTAAAGGAGAGCACCTGCACTTTGGGTTTTTTTTCCTCATCTTCTCGCTTTCACTTTAGCATGCCGTTTTTTATGGTTAGATTTGCCCTCTTAATTTATTTATGGCTTGGAAGACTCGCAATTGCTCATAGATCTTGTGTATCTATCTCTTTGGAAAGCTTTCTCTCTCTTCTTTTTAGTCTTGGCGGTTTTGTTTTCATGCATTCATGCTGTCTGTCTGTTCGTCCTCGTTTGATTTGGAATTTAGGGTCACTGAGCTCAATCTCTTTGGGCAATTTTCTCTCTTCCTTTTGGTCTGGGCTGATGATTTCCTTTCCCTTCTTGGCTGCTCTCGTCATTTATTTAACAACTACTCACTCCTACGTACCTCGTTTGATCACTGTGGGGTACGGCGGTGTAACCAAGATCTGGGCACATGAACCTAGATCTTCCTCTATTAATTGTGTTCTGCGAGTACTTCTGTATAGTACAAGGAACAAGATATTATGACCATCTTTTTGTTCAAAAGAATAGTGGAGTATATCCTCGCTTTTGCTTACAGTTCATCATCAAAACTTAGGTTTTTCTTCACCACAACTACAATTACATACATATATGCATACAGTTCTTCCACTTCCCAAGGTAGATCTCGTGAGCTTGATGGATAGTACACCTGTACCTCAAACAAGATTTGTGTTTTTTCAACTTGTTCTCTTGCAATAAGAGGCAAGAGTAAAAAAAAAAACATCAGTCCATTATTTACTGCCTTCTTCCTTCCCTTTTTAGCATTGTTGCCAGACTGCCAGTTGCCAAATTCCATATCCAGTTATCCACACCCTCAAGTTTTATTTATACTGCATGCGTTCGGTTCCTCTTCCCCTTCTGTTAGTCAGATCTCGCCTGTGCATCTCCTTTATTTTTGTCAACTCATTTTATCTTCCAAACGAGCTCTGATGTGCTTAGCTCACCGGTTCAGTCACTAGAGCTGTTTGAAGGCCTCATCTGCTGGTCTAGATGCTACTGTTCCATTCTTTACACAAATCTTCTTTACTGTTCAGATCTCGAAATGCTATCTCGCATCTTTCTTGAGTCCCGTGTAGAGTCATATCAAGCAGCTCAGCATATACAGCATGCAATATTATGAAGTTTCAACGTCATGCCTTCATCCAAGTGCGTAAGCAGCATAAACCGATGTGCAGTGCATTATTTAACCGCTTGCAGGAGCATTTCATTTCGTAGTTTTTTTTCCCTGAAGAAGATTTGTCTATCATATCAGTGTTTTCTGGAAGTTGTAGCAACTAGAATATATATTGCCTCCTTTGCCTTTTCGATCTCATGCAGAAGATTTTTCTCAGTCTTCAGTTCAATATTGTTTCTCCGATTTTCGCTGCCATTTTTCACAGATTTTCCTCCCTTTTAGTGACTCCATAGGTGGAGAATTTATGGTTGTATCCCTGTTGACAGGTGAATCGTTTGTATATTATCTTTTCATCTAGTAAAAAATTCTTGATGTTTTAAGCAAGTTTAAGTCAAACTCTTGAAAGAATTTCCATCAATAAATTTAGAACATTTATAGTCTAAAATGTAAAAGTCACAGAATTTTGCTTGAAAAGGAAATTCGTATTCTCATAAATTTGTAGAGATATAAACACGTCTTAATAGAAACTATAATAACGATTAAAGTCTTAACTCAAATACTTTGAAATGTCAATGACCTCAACTACTTTTGATTGGACGAACTACTCCATATATATACCAGTCACTGTTTGTGGTCAAACTTTAATTTTAAAACTTTTGACTATCAAAGGTTTTACTAAATCAAAACATGAAAATAGTTTGTGAAGATTTATTTTGAATACCACTTTCATGATACTATAAGTTTACTACATTTTTCTAATACATTTTATTATATAACATGCATGGTCTCAAAATTATATTTTATAGACCATATGGGCAATGTCGTTGTCCAAAACATCAAGCATTTTCCACATTAGACTATATATAGGGAGTTTGCTCAATTCTGTTCTAGATGTGTTGACATAAGTAATCAAGTAACAAATAAAAGGGAAAAACATAACAGAATAATTTTAGCTAGTAATACCGGTGTGACATAGAAATACATATATGTGTACAGCTTTATTGATACTACTAGATAGTAATAGTATGTGAGCTTGTACCATCATTACAGTTTCATCTTTTATTGTACTTCCCCTATGATTGTTAAATTGTAGCGTGGAGGCACAAAGCACAGTTAATCCGCGTATGAGAATGCTATATAAATCCACTATAAATGATAGGAATTTGACAAGATCTTTGAAGAATCATTCTTTACGTTGTAGGATATAATTTGGGAGTTAGCATGCACATTTGTACAAGTGTTTTAATTAATTGTTCAAGGCAACGTTGTGGTTGGCATATATTATGTCATCAATTAGGCAACAACAGAGCCTAACCAAAGGATTAGGGGTGCAGTCTATATATATAGTTGAGGATTAAAACACTAATGAACAGTAAAATATCGCTGTTTAGACAATAGGGATCACATTGAGCAGGGGTGGCCATGGCCTAGCTTGGTCTTTACCGAGCTATGCCCCAGCAATTAGGTCAGGGGGTACTAACTAACCGACATCTTAGCGACACTAATTATTAGGGCTCTTTGTTTCAACTTTGGCTTTTTACAAGTTAGAAAATGCAATTATCCAAAAGTTGTTTACTTACATTGGTTTTTAATGTGGATGAGTCACAACCTTAGGGCATCATGAATTAGAATCTACAAAAGGAACTCCAAACCAACTAATGGATTCTAGTACACCCCCACCATACTTGACATTCCATGGTCTTCTACATTTTGCAAGGAGACATATTTGAACATTGGACTGCATGAACATAAGCATAAATGTTATACTATTGTGACTAGAGTAGCAAACTACCAAATAATTTTTTTTATTCTAAGAACCAATTTCTAAGTAGATTGTTTCTTCTTGTTTCCAACATAAAACACATTTGATTCTTAAATTGGTGCCAAAGTGAAGTACGTTATTTTGTTTTTGCTGGCATCCTCTCATGTATGTTTTTGTTTTCTCTCATGCACACATACTAGCTACATTATGTTATTATTGAAAACCTCAAGAATTTTGAAAATATACTTTATCATATATAGGACCTAAAAATAGATGACAGCTATCAGTCTACCACTGTTTGAAGAATATACATGGATATATTAATTAATAATGCTATGGATCGTGTTACATTACCTTATTTACTTCCACTCAGAATTATATATACAAGTTGTCAACCCATGGCAATCCATAGGTTAGGCGTATAATTGAAACACCAACAAACAATATAATCTTGCATTCAAAGACTATAACTTGGCATGAAATCCTTTTCCTTTTGGAGTTGGCTAGAATAGTAGATATAAAGCATATAATCTTGCATTCAAAGACTAAAAATTATCTAGAAATATTATTACTATAGTCTAACCATGAATATAGATTGCAAGATGTTTCTCTCTATTAATATATGGAAAGTCTAGCTATATTTTATTGTATCTAGTTAAAAAGGCAATATTGTACTGTTAATCTCTGAGGGTTGTAGAAGAGCCTCTCACTACTCTGTATAAATATGGATAGTTTGGCATAATTTAGAGATAATGCCTAGGAGCTAGACAATTGACCTTCAACCCATTAATCTACTTGATGAAGTCAGAAGAAGTTGACATTTTGCGGTTTTAACTTTGAGTTTGACATGTTTATTCAAGGTCGGTATCATTCATCAACTTCATGGTATATATCCAATTCATGGGTCAAATGAAGTATGTATGATTGTTGATTTATATTACTAAATGCTACAGTATCAAAATACTATGGTACATGTCCATGTTATAGTGGCATTAATTGTCGCACTTTAGTTTTGTACAGTAAATATGTGTTGAAACTGTGGACAAACTTCTATTTTGTCTCCAAGTAGGAGGATTGATCAGTATGCGGTTATTATAAACTAATAACAAACCATTAGTTGTTCTAGAAAAAAGGGTTATCATTAAGCACTGATATGATCATCTTATAGATAAAAAAAATTGTTGGTGGAGTTCTCTGGTGAGTTTCAGTCTTATTTTTAGAAAGGACGGCAAAAGCTTTGTCGTAATTTTTATTAGAAGAAGAACAAAAAAAGAGATGAGTTTCAGTCTAATATAGCTATACCTTCTTTAGTGGAGATTGTAGTTATAAGATTTGTAATTATAGATATACCATAACTCCATTAGCATGGTTTTTTCACAAGTAGATTCGTTATAAGATTTGTGATCACATAAATACAACATTTGTGCTTTTGCATTCAATATTTAATTAGTTTATGGTATGACACTAAAAGTTCAATTCACTTGGACTAAACCTCCAATGGGATAGATTAGGCGTAACATATATTTTTCTTGTAGTTGCAAAAATATTGTAAAAAATATTCCAGTTCACAATACAACGAACTGGCATTGGCACGTACTACATACTGAACCCTCAACTTGGTTGCTATGCCTATGCTTAGATCAGCTCTCTGCTACACTGCATAATGCAAGCAGCGCTTCCACAGTTCCACTACCATGCAATGCGCCTCCCCCCTCGGTGCCCGTTCTTCGTAGCACATGTCAGCCCTAAGACATGCACAACATCACAAGTTTTCTCTGTTGCGTTCACACCCAAATTTGGACCATGATAGGACCCAGGGAGATATAGAGTCTCATTTTTGTCCTGAAAAAAAGGGTGCAATATATCTATTTTCCTATAGCTGCCATTGGCATAAATAAATAAATGGATTATCTATAAAACATAGACATGGTGAGAAGATTAAAGAGAAGGGAAAAAAGGGTGAATGGTATGAAGCCCTTGTGGTTTGTAAATCAGTCTGAGCTGCAAACACTCTATACGTGTGTTAAATATAGTTGCATTTATTAGCACCCCGGCATCTCTCACTCTGCTGCAATCTCGCCCGGAGTGGCACAAAAAAGCAATGAGCTAGTTTCCAAATATATAACGACTAACTATATATTCAACTATTGTGTGAGGATATTTGCAACTTAAACTCAATCCTTGGATTTTTTTTATCATAAGCCTACATTTACAGGGGAAGTGTGAATGAACTGTTGTCACATTCTTTAAACATGGCATGTCTTCTAAAGAGCAGATGCTACTTACAAATTACAATGTATAATACTATGGCATTGTTTCTTAGAAATCACACGCCAATTAATTGTTGTATGAATGACAGTGGCCTCGCTTATAACATGTGAATGCGGTTTTCAAAAATTGCTTTTTGTGCCTAGATATATCTCTATGAAGACACAGCTTCTATATCTGTCTTTTTTAATTACTTGCCATGACAGCAACATCCCCTACGTAGCCTAAGTAATGAAAGATAATTGGGTGCCGAGCTAGTTTCCACCAAATTAAGTTAAAGGGGATCATATGGGCAGTTTTACAAAGTGGAACTGTTAGCTTGTTTCCATCTAATATCGGAACTGAATAAATATTGCAAGTATATATAATATGCTCAGTTGGTGCACAAAAGCAGCAGCAGATTTATATAGTATGTATTACACCTTTATTCAAAGAAATATGTCTAATAAATTGGAGTTAAATTAACATATTTTCATGGTGTGCTGACATTTGGAGCTGCGACTAGCTCCGGCTTTTGTTCTATACGAAAACGAGATGTAAAGTGACCACACACACAGCATAAGCTAATTATATGTTTGTTGGGATAATACCAAAGAAACTTCCTTCTTAGTTAATTATCACTGTATGCAAGTGTTCTATTTTTGTAACAGAACTTCATGCGCAACATTTCTATTTTTGTAGTTAGCTTTCACCAGATCATATGGCACCGTGGATGTCCACTAAACAGAATTTAATACAATTCTTAAAAAATAATTTAATTAAGGATGACAATTGAACCCTCGTAATTATATGTTTCTTGTGTCAAATCTCCTCTAAAAAGAGCAAAGAAAAGGAGCATCAAGATGAAATCAAAGAATGTTTGTTTGTGCTGCTAGCTGTCGTTTTTTTAAATGCTGCCCCTGATCACTTTGATTGCCCTGTGCCAACAGCATGTACAAAACACTCGAGAGATACCGCAGCTCCAACTACAGTTCACAGGAAGTAAAAGCTCCACTGGACAGTGAAGTAAGCGTAATGAATCCTTAACATCCTTTCTCGACATGATAATGCATTTGTAAATTTATTTTTGTGAGGGCAACATCATTTGTAATTTTGTTTTATAAACAAGAATAATATACACTACCGGGAACGGGGGCACACGACAAAGCCATGAATACACTCGGCAAAGGGTTTGCCGAGTGTAACACTCGGTAAAGGGCACTCGGTAAAAATTTCATCGGCAAACTAACTTTGCCGAGTGTTTTTCGTCGGACACTCGGCGAAGACTTTGCCGAGTGCCCCAAAAACACTCGACAAACATTTTTTGAAAAAAATAAAAAAAAGCATCAGCCGCTCCGGCGCTGGCCCGCCACCGCCACTCGTTGGATCCACCAGCGCCTTGGATCCGCCACCAGGGGGGGTGTCGGCGCCCTGGATCCACCGCCGACGGACGCCACCGCCCTGGATCCGCCGTCGGAGGAAGGAGGCACCGCTCTGGATCCGCCATCGGGAGCTCTGGATCCACCACCGGAGGAAGGAACCACCGCCCTGGATCCGCCACCGGGAGCTCTGGATCCACCGCTGGAGGGCGGCGCTGTGGGGAGGGAGGGGAGGGAGAGAGAGCTGAGGCCGGATCCGGGCTCTGGGCCGTCGGTTAGGCCACCGAGGATCCTCCTTGCCAGGGCACCCGCCGGGGCTCCTCGTCGCGGGGCCGGGGCTCCTCACTAGGGCACTCTCCGCTGGGGCACCTCCTCACCGAGGCCGGGCCTCCTCCTTGCCAGGGTGCCCACCGCCGCTGTGGGGGCAGAGAGGGCGAGCGCCGCCGCTGTGGAGGGAGAGAGGGCGAGCGCTGCCGCTGTGGGGAGGGAGTGGAGGCTGCGCGCCGCTCGGTGTGGGAGAGGAAGTGAGCGCGCTCGATCCGGGCAGGAGAGGGAGGAGGAGGGGGCCGCGCCGGATCCGGGCCGGAGAGGGAGCAAGGGAGGGCGCCGGAGGAGGAGGAGGAGGGGCGTGCGGGGTGACGGAGGGCGCGGTGTGCGGGGTGACCGAGGGGGCAGTGTGCGGCTTTTATTTCCAGGAAAAAAACAAATTTTGCCGAGTGTTGTAGATCTAGCACTCGGCAAAGGGTTTTTTTAATTTTTTTTCTTCTCCTTTTTTTTCCAGAAAAAAGATTTTATGTTTCTTTGCCGAGTGTTGCAGATCTAGCACTCGGCAAAGATTTTTTTTATTTTTTTTCTTCTCCTTCTTTTCCAGAAAAAATATTTTATATTTCTTTGTCAAGTGTCGTAGATCTAGCACTCGGCAATGATTTTTTTTTTTTTTCTTCTCCTTCTTTTCCAGAAATAATATTTTATTTCTTTGCCGAGTGTTTTTTTACACTCGGCAAACTTGCTCTTTGCCGAGTGTTTTTTTTACACTCGGCAAACCCCCTATTTTGCCGAGTATTTTTTTTTGCCGAGTGTTTTTAGCGCAGCACTCGGCAAATCACTTATTCGCCGAGTGCCCGAGGGAATACACTCAGCAAACATAAAAACACTCGGCGAAGAGCAGGATTCGGGTAGTGATAATAAGCCAACAATTTGTTGATTGCTTTCAGTGACACCAATCACCCAAAAATGAACTAACCACATTTGCTTTATCATCGGTCAAGTGATTATATATGTCCATGTATTTTTCCAAGCTAACTGATATCATATATACTTTATGCTTAAATTCCTGTGTTTTAAATTCACAATGGTTAGCTTTATTTTTTTCCATCATAAATCTTCCTAAACAGGCCAAGAAGTGTGCAGACATTCTTGCTCAGCATTGTCTGCAAGGGATAGATGTATAGGATTGGCCTAGGGTTGAATATAGAGTTATAAAGAATAGGAATACATATATATGATGTTGTCCTACTGTGAACCCAATATTGTTGTGAATTGAATTTAGTATAAAGAAGATATCTGGATGGCATTAAAGAATCTTGTCCTATCCAAGTTAAGTTTTTAGATAGACTTGTGCGGGTGCTCGTACCTCCCCGTTTGTAGACACATATATATGTAGTGCCCGATACAGGACCGGTGCTGGTATGTTAAAGACAAGTACAGTAATCTCACTTAATTTCATGTGACGTAAGTTAAAGACAAGTCTAATAATGTTTAGTAGTCAGATACTTGTTTAGTATTTGCAACTATAATAGCTCCACCCCTGCGCATATATCTGTGCTTTCTTGTTAGACATGTGCTAGTTTATGGGTGCATGTCATTGTCTAAAAAAAATGTTCATGGATGCATGTGGGCACATATACTTGTGATGTGTGTACGTGAATGTAAGCTAGCACGAATTGTGCTATCAGAAAAGAAACTATTCCTTCTGTTACCAAACGTAAGATGTTTTAGTTTTAAACCGTAAGTTAATTATTTTCTAACTTTGATTACGTTTATAGAAAATGCACCAACTACAGCAACAAATTAGTTTCCTAAAATTCATAAGAAGTATGTCCTGATAGTGCATTTAATTTTTGAATCATAGATGTTAATATTTTTTTCTAAATTTGGTTAAAATTAGAGAAGTTTAATTTAGGACAAAATTAAAATGCCTCACATTTTGGAAAGGTGGAAGTATATTACCAGTGCTGTGTAGAGATTCAGTTAGTTGAGCGTTCGTTCTTAGTTTGGTTTTCATCAACGGGTAAAAGAAGGAGCAAACGTCAACATTTTTTGACATCTCAGCTTAGAGTTTTTCTCCCTATAATAAGAACAAAATAAATTGCAGGGAAGATGAGAGCTCAAATTAGCCACCATTAGCGGCCCTGATATCAAGCTGACGGGCTCAGCCTTTATATTGGATTTGGATGTAAGATTGGGCTAGGGGCTGGACAGCTGGGCCAGATGCAAACATACCTATTTTCCTCTCGCGGAGCCCGTCATATATAATTCCGGCCCATCTCTCTTACGAAATTAATGGATGCGTGCTTCTGATTTTGTGATAATTTTCTAAGATTTATTTATATATATTTTTTGTAGCAGCTTTGTTGAAGGTCTTAATAAATTAGTAAAATTAAGATTCACTCGGCAAAAAAATATAGAACTTGTAAATAGGCATGTACTGTGAACCCTATCTACATTATTGCTCATTTGATAAGCCGTCACATCTGTTTCTACTGATTTCTAAAGTCGGTCAGTGGGACAGGATTTCTTTTTTTTTTCTTTAGAACTGGACGCTACTTTCTTTTTTCTTTCGAACTAGGTTTGTCTGTTTGTTTGGCAAAAATATTCTATGTACTGACCTGAACTTTGTGTGTTCCCTTTTTCCAACCAGGATCTCACGTTGACTTAATCTGTTTCATTGCGCTCTTTATTTCTTGTTAAAACTAGATTAACTACCAGGATTATCTGAAGTTGAGGACAAGAGTTGAATTTCTTCAAACTACACAAAGGTAGTATTCAAAATGGTACTGAACTACTGATTGCTTGTTTCAGGTGCAAAAAAGTTGTTAATGGGCGTATGATGTATGACATGTACTACTAATTCATTTTTGTAGAAATATTCTTGGTGAGGATCTGGGTCCACTTAGCATGAAGGAGCTTGAGCAGCTGGAGAACCAAATAGAGACATCCCTGAAGCATATCAGGTCAAGAGAGGTAGAGAACTGACTGTGTGGTTTATATTTTTCTACAGTACACTGTTTTCGCTTGCATTTAACAAGCGTTGATATGTTTGCAGAATCAAATGTTACTTGATCAGCTCTTTGATCTCAAAAGTAAGGTAATAACGATGAGCTCCGGTTGCCTTTTGCCTAATTTTATTTCTGTTCCATGCATTCGTACCAAACCTTTTATTGCCGAGCTACCAATTATGTTGCAGGAACAAGAATTGCAGGATCTTAATAAAGACCTAAGGAAAAAGGTAACATCAATGACCTTATTAAAACATCTCTCTGTGTGTATATATGTATGTACCTTGATGTTAAGGGCATGTTTGGATCTCCTCCTCTAAACTTTAGAGCTCTAAAAACTTTAGAGAACTTTAGCTCACTTTTGAGGTTTAAAGCTCTAATATGACTCGGGCTAAAGTTTAAAGCTAACTTTAGATTACTTGTTTGGAGTTTTAGCTCTAAAGTTGTTTACACACATACATTTCTTACTGTGTTGTCGATGAGAACTGAAACAACTTTCAAACTAAAAATGCTATATGTGTCTCTGTTCCGATATACCTACTTGACATAAACCTACTGCTCCGTTACTGATGTCTTGAAGTGCCAGCTGCAAGAAACAAGTCCAGAGAATGCGCTCCATGTTTGCAGCTGGGAGGAAGGTGGGCACAGTGGCGCAAGTGGGAATGTTCTTGATCCTTATCAGGGACTCCTTCAGCACCCAGAGAATGATCCTTCCCTGCAGATTGGGTAAGTTTTCTTCAGGTGATAATGGCTAAGATAGATAAAACAAAATGTGCAATGATGAAAAATTGAGATAGAGAAAAAAGACAAAAATATATATAAACATATCCATGAAGCCACACACTACTGTTATCTGAACTTGTGCACTCACAAGTCACAATCGCATCAAAGTTAGCCTCGCATGGATGAGGCCATAACAGTATGACACATCATCACAATTCCTGTAGTGAAATAGTATCCTACCACTGCACATTCCGCATTTTAATTTTAGCATGCTTTGCTTTCATCATACCTTAATTGCGTTAATGAGTGTGCGTGTTCGTCCTGGGCAAAGGTACCATCAACAAGCCTACATGGACCAGCTGAACAACGAGGACATGGCGGACCCAAATGAGCACGGTCGATCTGGATGGATATGAAATGCTCTGATGACCCAAATGAAGTTGATGCATAGCAGGAATTCACCCTGCACGAAACTATGTATTGAAGCACTACCCTTAAGCTCCCCCAAACGATTAAGTAAACAGGGGAATAATTCGAGCGCGTGTTGTACTAGTAAACTGCAGCGTGGTGTTCCCGTAGCATGCGGCTGGACGCACTGTGTGTGTGTGGGATTGTAATGGTTATCTGTAGACCTCGTGTGTCTTGTGTTGTGTGCGAAGCTTGGAACTTTATATATGTATGTATGGTATTTGTGTGGCAATTGTGTCATGCCGATGGCTTTCTATTTCTTTTCTGGGAGCTGCGCAAAACCGTCGCCATTTCTGGGCTTCAGTTCAGTTCAGACTTTGGAGATCTCAAACCCATCCTTGCCGAGTTAACCTCGGGGCGTCAGATCGCCGGGTCCCACCGTTCAGTTCTCCAAGGCCCTCGCGACGGACGCCTCGCCCGTCGCTCGTGTTGGGCACTGCGAGTGACTTGCCGAGTTGCCTGTCGCGGACGCGGGAAGAGGGGACCAAAAACTCTGTTCCGCACTTCTGCTCTGCTCCAGGCCTCAGCATCCGCGCCGAAGCGAAAGCGCGTCCCAACTCCCAAGTGACGACCAAGTCCGAACCCGCGTGCGCGTGGTGCCTGGGCCGAATTATTAGGAGATCCCTGGGCCGTCTCCCTCCCTCTGGTCAGCAGCCTGCATCACCGTGCGCATGGCCCGTGGGCCGCGTCATCATCTTCACACGGCGCACTACTCGACTATACGTGCCGACGCGAGTAGAAGTCATTGTGAATCTTCGGAACCAAAATTGCTTACTCCTCGACTCTAAGGGATATTTAAACTAGGAGTATTTTGTTTTAGGATGAAATTTTCAAGCATGAAGGTAGGTGTTCCAATAATGAGGCTCATGCTATTGCTAAAAGCGTATCTAATATGTCGTCAGGAAGATATGTTTGGCTCCTTCAGCATCCAAAAATATTGCATGTACCTCAAAAAATTATGACTATTAATAAATAATATGCCTGTATTCCTCTCAAAAAAAAAAGTAGTCGTGATTCGTGAACACGTGACTGTGAAGTGTGAACTCCGATCGTCTGATCCTCTCGCTGACGGCATGGAGGCCACCACTCGGCATGCCCCTGGCCCAAGAAGGAGTGAGCGAGCACGCCAGCTCAATACCAACTCCACCGCCCCACAATGGACTTAGCTGGCACACTGGCAGTTGCATGCGCGAGTTCTGCCTGCGTGCGTGCGTCGTCTATACCAACCAGAGGTCAGAGACTCACAGGAGTAGGTGCGGAAAACAGATGGATTAGTTTATTTTTAGCCCCTTAACTTTCGCCTTATCTAATTTTCACTATCAACTATAAAATCATTTAGTTTTGGCAACTCAACTATTTAAATTGTTCAATTTTGACCTGAGCCGGTTTTGAGCGATTTTTAGATAGCTCTAGGTGAAAATTGAACGGTTTTATAATAGCTAAGGTGCCAAAGTGATCGGGTCTTGTAGTTACGGTCAAAATTAGACAACAGAAAGAGTTGAGATGCCACAAATAAACACAATACATAATTAAGACTTATATATCATTAATTAATATGATTAGCCGTATTAAAGCTCATTAAGCTTAACCTTTATATATTATTGATTATAACATTAAAATTATCAATGATACAATATTTTAATAGTTTTAAATTTTCATAAATTAAAAATAACCTTTATGCCATAAATATGATTAGCCATATAGATACAGATAGCTTTTAAGTATTATAAACTATGCATATCATCTGTTATATTAAAATAATTATCATTTACATCATTACTTTTTTACAGGGTACCTCGTTCTTCACGTATATGAATAATGTTGAATCTTTCATATTTTTATAAAATATGGATCTTTCAAATATTTAAACATCTGGGATCCATCCCTATACTACAGTACATAGCTTGCAACATACTACTATGAACTAGCATCATCGTCAGCTTGAACAACGACGACAGTGACATAACATTGCCAGCTAGAGACAAGAACCGGAAATCATATTCTAAGGCTGGTCATGACTTGAATATTTGATATATTAATAAATATTTAATAATCAAATAGATATTAATAAAAGTGTAGATAAATATTTCAATACATATAAACATTTAATAACAAGGAAATTTAAATATGTGAAATTTCATAAATATATAAATAACTAAAGTACTTGATTAAGTTTATTTTTGGCCCCGCAACTCTTGCCTTGTCTAACTCTGACACATCAACTATCAAAGCCGTTCAATTTTGATCCTCGAGGCTATATTGAATGTTTTTTCATATGGCTCAGTTTTGATAGTCGAGGTGCCAAATTTAGACCAATTTGTAGTTTGGGGGTCAAAATTAAACAAAGTCAAGAGTTGAGGGACCAAAAACACTAAATTCAAAAGAGATTGGCTTGTAAAGAACAAAACTATCGTTCCCTACTGAGATTCGTCTGAACCCTATTCCTGCTACTCTTCCCCGATTCCCTCTAATTTCTAACATCTAGTATCAGAGATAGTTTTTTTATCGTGGAATCAACACCACATTGATCGATCTAGCAATGAGTCGGGTGGGTGAATTCGATCAAAACAAGTGAGCTGTTGGGTTCGATCTGAATTTTTAGTAATTCCTCCTCAGCTAGATCTCGCTGCATGGAGTTAGTCATCATGTATCCTTTTACCCACCATAATCACTATACTCGGCTTCAGAAGCGGCTTAGTGCCATGAATCTAGAGACGAAGATCCTTTTCGATGAACTCTAGCACCAGTTCGCTCGCTGAGTAGAAGGCCGTCCTCGAGAATCGCTTCACCGTCTATGACAACAAATGGGTGTAGCGTGTTGCCGACTTCGAGACCCACAGCCGCAGCGACGCTCGTGTTCCGAGGTGGAGATATTCGCTACACGGAGTATGTCATGCAACGTAACAACGTGGAGTATTGGGTGTTTTTCACTTGTCTTGTAGTATTGAGACTATCACATGTAATTATGTTTGTTTGGAGTTTGGTTACTAATGACTTCATCTCTACCTATATTAGATATGATTTTCTAATTATGGAATCATGTGAAAATGTATGATGACAATGAGATATATGTGATGTATTAATAATACCAAATATAAAATATTAGATAGTAACCTTTATTTAAATGTAACAATAAAGAATGTAAAACAATTAGGAACATAAAGGTCAATGCTAGTTCAATCCACTGAATAGACAGTGAGTATGCAAAATATCACTCCGTCGATCCTAACAGTGATGCTGGGTTTGGTCCTGACAGTGATCCATGGATCCAAAGTAGTGTACATCCTCGACCATGGCTATTCCGCTCTTATGCTTTGGCTACCTCGACATCGACACATAAAGGGATACTACCGCCTTGCATGAGCTCTTGTCGATCTGCACTCTAGTCACGACACTCACGACACATCAACCATAAAAGCATCTAGGCCCCTAGTTGGGTTTTGGTGATTAATGATAATACGAGATTAATATGACTAACGTATGTATTGCAGAGGCAATTTAAGTTAGGTTATGGTAATGGCAATTGATTGCGCAATCAGGGTTGTCATGCCCCTACGATGAAAATCGTTTTGGTTTTCAAAGGATGGACGACAAGGTTAAGGATGGACTAGTTCTAAGTGTCGTTTGGTGTTGAAGAGACACCTAGAGTAGTTTAGGACTTTGTTTTTCCTTTGGTGGTACTATTAAGGGGGTATGGACTAGTAGCTTGACCTAGGTGAGTCTAGTGAGTTAGGTGTGGTGCATACTTATCAAATCTAGCACTAGGTAGCTCCCGAGTAGCCCTAAGATCAATTGGAGCAAACTTCATTCACATATAATTTTGAGTTGGAAGTGAATGGAGGGTCAAATGACTCACTGGACGTTGGTCTGGTTGTGACCGAACGCTGAAGGGTGAGTCCGGTCAGTTCATTTGATCAACTAGAGCCGTCTGGTTGCGACCGGACGTTGAGTGAAAAGTGACCGAACACTGGGTGCCAGAGTCCGGTCAACTCTAGAGAGGTTTCAGAGAGGGAGTTTCCTAATCGGTCGTGTCCGGTCAGTGCTGACTGGACGCTGGTCTGGATCCGGTAACTGACTAGACGCTGAATAGCGAAGTGACCGAACTCTGGGTGCCAGCGTCCGGTCAACATCAGTAAGGTTTTGGAGAGCAGTTTTCATGATCGGACGCGTCCAGTCAGTGATGACCAGACGCAGGTAAGAGTCCGGTCAGAATTTAACGGCTCTTTCTAACACAGTGGCAGGGATAACTGATCGGAGTGTCCGGTCACCCTGACCGGAGCGTCCGGTCACCCCGCAGAGTGATGACTCAACCTCTAAACGTTATGTTTTGAATAAGGGGGTATAAATACTTACTCCACTCGTCCAAGGGAGGTCTCTTGCCCATTTGTTCAGTTGAGAAACACCCTTGAGAGTACAAAGAAGAGCAAGAGCCTAGTGAGGTGATTGAGATTTGAGAATCCAAGATTAAGGCCTCATTAGTGCAAGAAGAGTAGCAAGTGTGCATCCACCCTTCTCATTAGGCTTATCGTGGTCAAGTGAGAGTTTATGCTTGTTACTCTTGGTTATCTCCATCACCTAGACGGCTTGGTAGTGATTGGGAGTTTGATGATCATCCGGCGGAGCTTGTGGATGACCCAACTCAAGTTGTGAGCGGTTGTGGGTGATTCACCGTGACGGAGTGTCGAAGAATCAACCCGTATAGAGCACTTTATCCTTGCGTGGATCAAGGGGGGGCTACACCCTTACGGGTGCTCCAACGAGGACTAGTGGGGAGTGACGACTCTCCGATACCTCAACAAAACATCACCGCATTCCTTTTCTCTCTCTTTACTTTGAGCATTTATATTCGCAGCAATTCATTTCTGGTCTTTACATTCCTAAAATTGCCATGCTAGAGTAGGATTGGAACTTAGGGTGCAAAACTTTTGTGCGGTAGAACAATAGAATC